GAGTGACGTTACAGTCCCACCCCTACGCGTTACGCCACTGGTCACGTGGCTTCATCAGGGGGATTTGATAGCATATGTTGCACACCACGGATATCCTAAAGCAGGAGTTCTAAACAAGCAGGTTCCAAAGGAGGTGAACCACAAGTTTATATAGCCTAATTGCAGGCTTCTTATAAGGTGAGCGCACATCTTCACTTGAGGGAGGATTCACAAGTAGTCACCGATTTATAATCATTGTAGATTGAAGATTTTCCAGCACAAAGTCACTTTTTTGGGACATTATTTTTTATTTTTATTTTTTATTTTTATTTATTTTTTAATTTTTATTTTTAATTTTTTTTATTTTTATTTTTTATTTTTTATTTTTATTTTTATTTTTTATTTTTATTTTTATAGTTATTTATTTGTATGTTTATTTTTCATGCACAGTATTTATTTGTATTAATTCAAAGTATGAGTATATTAGTATATATGTTTATTCGCACACATCATTCTTAATTACTGAAATCTTTAAAATAGAGATCCAATTCAAATAACAATATATTGATTTGAGGTTTGGGAGCGCAACACTATATATTTTATTTTTTTACAGACCAATGTGTGCTGGGAGCGGGATACTTGGGACAGACCAATGTGTGCTGGGAGCGGGATACTTGGGACAGACCAATGTGTGCTGGGAGCGGGATACTTGGGACAGACCAATGTGTGCTGGGAGCAGGATACTTGGGACAGACCAATGTGTGCTGGGAACGGGATACTTGGGACAGACCAATGTGTGCTGGGAGCGGGATACTTGGGACAGACCAATGTGTGCTGGGAGCGGGATACTTGGGACAGACCAATGTGCGCTGGGGAGCGGGATACTCGGGACAGACCAATGTGTGCTGGGAGCGGGACACTCGGGACAGACCAATGTGCGCTGGGAGCGGGACACTCGGGACAGACCAATGTGTGCTGGGAGCGGGACACTCGGGACAGACCAATGTGCGCTGGGAGCGGGACACTCGGGACAGACCAATGTGTGCTGGGAGCGGGACACTCGGGACAGACCAATGTGTGCTGGGAGCGGGACACTCGGGACAGACCAATGTGCGCTGGGAGCGGGACACTCGGGACAGACCAATGTGTGCTGGGAGCGGGACACTTGGGACAGACCAATGTGTGCTGGGAGCGGGACACTCGGGACAGACCAATGTGTGCTGGGAGCGGGACACTTGGGACAGACCAATGTGTGCTGGGAGCGGGATACTTGGGACAGACCAATGTGTGCTATGGGAGTGGAATCCAGAGGAGAGGCCAATGTGTGTGTGCTTGGGGTGGGATATACAGAGGAGTGTTGAGGGTAGAATACAGAGGAAAGACCAATGTGAGTGCTGGGGGTGGGTTACATAAGACAGACCAATGTGTGCTCTGGGGGTGGGATACACAGAGGAGAGACCAATGTGTGTTCTGAGTGCGGGATACTTGGGACAGACCAATGTGTGCTCTGGGGGTGGGATATAGAGGAAAGACCAATGTATGCCGGGGATGGGATACATGGGACAGACCAATGTGTATGCTGGGGGAGGATACAGAGGAGAGGCCAATGTGTGTGCTGTGGGTGGGATACTTGGGAGAGACCATTCTGGGTGATATCTCACTGAGCATTCTCTGTTCAAATAAATTAATAAATAAATAAATAAGGACCTGCCCACTGATACAGCAAAAGTGCCACCTAGGTTTCAATACCATATATAGTGCATACCATTATTATATCTATGAAGGTCCCATCCCATTACCATGACCGTGGTGTGAACTCCGATACACTTCAAACCTTTGGACCTTTCTGTAGCCCAACTAACCAAATAACAGAGTTTCCAGGGTGTGCCTCGGATCCTGCATACAGAATGGTTAGACCCACTCACACATACCAAGGCCAATTTAGAAAAGAACCAATTAACCGCCCAACGTGTGTCTTAGGAATGCCCAGAGAGAACATGCAAGCACCATAGTATCTTGGTCAGGATCCAAACCAAGGACCCCAGTGCTACAAGGCAAACATGCAGCACAAGTGCTAACCGCTAAGCCAGTGTGCTGTTCTCTATACAATCTACAAACATATGAAGACGATATTAGCGCCCATTGTCAATCTATATGTAGGACAGGCTATCTTCTGTCGGTGGAATTCTTGGTAGGTCCTTCGTTATCCATGGCGAATTGTTACTCCTAGGGGTTGCTGGGTCTTCTGGTAATTTCACAGTTCAGTTCACTCATTCCTACATTTGATGCCCCAGTGTTGGTACTCACATAGATTAGAGTAGGAGCAAACTTGTGGAAACACCTTAGACACCTGAGACCGCTAATTAATAATTAAGCAGTGAATCATAGACAGGTCCTCTTTGTTGGCTATCAAAGATGAAAGTTGCGATTAGCCAAGTCGATGAGCCCCTTTCCACTAAACATTCATAGGCTCTGAGCGCGTTTGTTGCAATTTTTTTCAGAACAAGGCATTCCTGGGGATGTTTTTGAATTCCTTGGTAAGTCTTGTGAAGCTCTTTGAGGACACAACATGAACGCAGCGAGGTGGGAGGACCAATCCCAGCTCCAGCACAAAGTATCAAAGCGTCGTCTTGAGAACACATGTTGTACATCATGCGAACGTCTCACGATTTCAGGCGCACCTGGTTTTAATTGGGCAGTGAACGTAGACACGGATTGTCCCAGGTACACATGTGCAGAACCTTCCCCAAAATCTGGTTCCCATCAGCCGGCGGGTCAGCAGAGAGTGAAGCCATTACATTCTGACATGCACTAAGTGACAGAGTCAAAGGGAACGGGGGGCGCAGGGGTTAATGTGTTTTAGGTTGATGTTTACATCATGACATGGATGGAAGTGACACTAAGTAGCAGCTGCGATATATGGGAATGTTTACGGTGAAGGAAATCAGATGAAGATTTCATCCCTACACTTCGCATCATCGAAAGACAAGAAAAAGACGTGTGTGAATTAATACAAAACATCCAGAGGGCCTCGTCCACCTCCTGGAGGACCTCACTTCTGCCCTGCCGAAGAAATGAGGGCAAAAAGAATGCTGGGAGAAAGAATACGAGGCTCCGGAACCCAGAGGACTCTCTATATGTTTATGTTTTATTATTGTCATCCAAGAAAACACCAATAGTGTCAATGTAGAGAAGGTCAATATTGGGCCAGCAGCTTTTGCACACCACGGAGCTCCCATGGTCACCTTGGGTTGCGTTAGGGATTGACTGAATTTGGAAGTGAAGTGCCACACGATACTGTAGTAAAAATTAAATGGCACAAAAATAAAACAAGAATAAGATCGACACAATGCGTGATGAGATCTCCAGGGTCAAGATTCCTCCTCCAACCAACATACCAGGCCCAACACCACACTCAACACTCTCCTCCTTCAACCTTGATACCACCAAGGAAGCTACTGAACTCCTTTCCAAGGCTCACTTCACCACCCGTCCCCTGGACCCTGTCCCCTCATGACTATTGCAGTCTCCTTCCTCCTCTATCCTAAACTCTCTAACCCACATCTTCAATCTCTCACTCTCCATGGGCACCTTTCCCTCCCTGCTCAAACATGCACTGGTTACCCCCATACTCAAAAAACCCTCGCTGGACCCCACCTGTTTGAATAACTTAGGACCCATCTCCCTGCTTCCGTTTGTCTCCAAGCTTCTCCAGCCCCTTGTTCACAACCGTATGAACTGCTACCTCACCGACAACAACCTTCTTGATCCCCGACAGTCTGGCTTCCGCCCACAACATTCCACTGAAACTGCCCTACTAAAACTCATAATGACCTACTAACTGCTAAAACCAATGGCCATTACTCCATACTCATCCCAACCAACGGCCATTACTCCATGCTCATCCCAACCAATGGCCACTACTCCATACTCATCCCAACCAATGGCCATTACTCCATGCTCATCCCAACCAACGGCCATTACTCCATGCTCATCCCAACCAATGGCCACTACTCCATACTCATCCCAACCAATGGCCATTACTCCATACTCATCCCAACCAACGGCCATTACTCCATGCTCATCCCAACCAATGGCCACTACTCCATACTCATCCCAACCAATGGCCATTACTCCATGCTCATCCCAACCAACGGCCACTACTCCATACTCATCCCAACCAACGGCCATTACTCCATGCTCATCCCAACCAACGGCCACTACTCCGTACTCATCCCAACCAATGGCCATTACTCCATACTCATCCCAACCAATGGCCACTACTCCGTACTCATCCCAACCAATGGCCACTACTCCGTACTCATCCCAACCAATGGCCACTACTCCGTACTGGCCACTACTTCGTACTCATCCCAACCAATGGCCACTACTCCATACTCATCCCAACCAATGGCCATTACTCCGTATTCATCCCAACCAATGGCCACTACTCCGTACTCATCCCAACCATGGCCATTACTCCATACTCATCCCAACCAATGGCCATTACTCCCGTATTCATCCCAACCAATGGCCACTACTCCATACTTATCCCAACCAATGGCCATTACTCCATACTTATCCCAACCAATGGCCACTACTCCGTACTCATCCCAACCAATGGCCATTACTCTGTACTCATCCCAACCAATGGCCATTACTCCGTACTCATCCCAACCAATGGCCACTACTCCATACTCATTCTAACCAATGGCCATTACTCCTTACTCATCCCAACCAATGGCCACTATTCCATACTCATCCCAACCAATAACCACTACTCCATACTCATCCCAACCAATGGCCATTACTCCATACTCATCCCAACCAATGGTCATTACTCCATACTCATCTCAAACAATGGCCACTACTCCATACTCACCCCAACCAATGGCCATTACTCCATACTCATCCCAACCAATAGCCACTACTCCATACTCATCCCAACCAATGGCCACTACTCCATACTCACCCCAACCAATGTCCACTACTCCATACTCACCCCAACCAATGGCCATTACTCCATACTCATCCCAACCAATGTCCACTACTCCATACTCACCCCAACCAATGTCCACTACTCCATACTCACCCCAACCAATGTCCACTACTCCATACTCATCCATACCAATGTCCACTACTCCATACTCATCCCAACCAATGTCCACTACTCCATACTCATCCATACCAATGTCCACTACTCCATACTCATCCCAACCAATGGCCACTACTCCGTACTTATACTGCTAGACCTTTCCGCTGCCTATAACAGTCGACCACCCACTCCACTCCATCGGTCTCCATGTTCTCCTCTTACCTTTCTCAGCGCACTTTCAGCGTCACATACAACTCCTCCTCCTCCGCTCCTCTCCCTCTTTCCGTTGGGGTACCCCCAGGCTCTGTCCTTGGGCCCCTCCTTTTCTCTCTCTACACCTCCTCCCTGGGCCAAATGATAACCTCCCACGGCTTCCAATACCACCTCTATGCTGATGACACCCAGATCTATCTCTCCACTCCCCAGCTCACCCCCTCAATCTCCCCACGTATCACAAATCTACTGAGCGACATATCAGCATGGATGTCACACCACTACCGGAAACTCAATCTTTCCAAAACTGAGCTGTAATATTACCTCCCCTCCGATCCCCCACTCATATCTTTACCATTAAGATCAAAAGCACAACCATTGGTCCTTCCCTTCATGCCAGAGTGCTAGGCGTAATCCTAGACTCTGACCTCTCCTTTGGGCCCCACATCCACTCACTGGCTAAATCCTGCCGCCTCAACCTCTGGAACATTTCCAAAATCTGCCCCTTCCTGACCAATGACACCACAAAAAAAACTTATTCCGCCTTGGTTTTATCCCGCCTTGATTACTGCAACTCCCTCCTCACTGGTCTACTGTTACACAGGCCACGCCCCCTTCAGTCTATTATGAATGCTGCCACTAGATTCATACACCTTACCAACCGATCAGCGACTGCTGCCCCCTCTTTGCCAATCCCTCCACTGGCCTCCATTCAGTGTCCTCCACCCCTCTCTGCCAATCCCTCCACTGGCCTCCATTCACTGTCCTCCACCCCCCTCTGCCAATCCCTCCACTGGCCTCCATTCAGTGTCCTCCTCCCCCCTCTGCCAATCCCTCCACTGGCCTCCACTCAGTGTCCTCCACCCCCTTCTGCCAATCCCTCCACTGGCCTCCATTCAGTGTCCTCCACCCCTCTCTGCCAATCCCTCCACTGGCCTCCATTCACTGTCCTCCACCCCCCTCTGCCAATCCCTCCACTGGCCTCCATTCAGTGTCCTCCACCCCCTCCTGCCAATCCCTCCACTGGTCTCCATTCAGTGTCCTCCACCCCCCCTACCAATCCCTCCACTGGTCTCCATTCAGTGTCCTCCACCCCCCTCTGCCAATCCCTCCACTGGTCTCCATTCAGTGTCCTCCACCACCCCCCCCCTGCCAATCCCTCCACTGGTCTCCATTCAGTGTCCTCCACCCCCCTCTGCCAATCCCTCCACTGGTCTCCATTCAGTGTCCTCCACCCCCCTCTGCCAATCCCTCCACTGGTCTCCATTCAGTGTCCTCCACCCCCCTCTGCCAATCCCTCCACTGGCCTCCATTCAGTGTCCTCCACCCTCCTCTGCCAATCCCTCCACTGGCCTCCATTCAGTGTCCTCCACCCCCCTCTGCCAATCCCTCCACTGGTCTCCATTCAGTGTCCTCCACCCCTCTCTGCCAATCCCTTCACTGGCTTCCACTAACCCAACGTATAAAATTCAAAATACTAACCACAGCTTACAAAGCCATCCACAACACTGCTCCTAGCTACATATTATATTGTAAAATGCTGAGAAAACTGTTGGCGCTATATAAATTCTGTATAATAATAATATTAAAATAGTCCAAATACAAATTAATTTCCCTTAACCCCTTCCTGTCCGGACACTTTTACCCCCTTCCTGTCCGGACACTTTTACCCCCTTCCTGTCCAGGACAATTTTCAGCTTTCAGCGCTGTCACAATTGCGCGGTCATGCAGCACTGTACCCATATGAAATTATTAGCATTTTTTTGAGACAGATAAAACTTTATTTTGGTGGTATTTATTCACTTTTTATTTTTTTTGCTATATAAACGAAAAAGTCCAAAAATTTTGCAAAAAAAGTGTTTTTCTTATAAAATTTTGCAAATAAATAATCTTTCTTCATAAATCTCGGCCAAAAGTTATTCAGTTATCTTTTTACTTAAAAAAAAATAACCCGCATTAGTTTATAAGCGAAAATTATAATTTAAAAAAAATGTTAATTATTATTTATGTTTTTTGTTTTCTTTTTACATCCTGTCACCCTAGCAGTATAGTGACACCATGGTGACACTACTACTTGTGGGGGGTGATGAAGATTTTTTTTTCTTTTGTTACACTGATTGCTTTTACACCCATAAAGGCTGTAAGAGGAATCATTTCTCCTTCTCTCTGGCTGCATTCTTGCAGCCATTGAGAAATACTGTGTGAGCTGTGATTAGTCACAGCTTGTCACATGGTACAAGGCTGTTGTGAATGGCCCTGTACCATGTGATCTCTGTGATCATTCACAGATTTCACACAGAATAAGCAATGATGTCACAAGTGACATCTTGCTTACACCTATTCATGTGAACACTGACTGGCCAATCAGTGATCACATGATCGGGACCTCACACAGAGGTCCCGTACAGCGATCTGTGTTCTGCTGTGTCCAAAATGGCGGGCGCCGTTTATGAAGGCAACCCGCCCCTGCACTGCCACCGTCCAGCTGTTTATATTCAGCGGCTGGACGGAAGTGGTTAAAGATTGTTTGCAGCTTAACGCGTTTTGGGGGCTCCACCCCCTTCATCAGGGCTGACAACATAAAATATAAAAATGTCTTATAAGTAAAAGATTGTAACATTTGGTTCAGAAAGCTGGAGAACAAGATCAAATAATATTTGAGGCACGTTAATAAAAAATTCAGTTTTCTTGGCGTCCTTCCTTGGTCTGCGCTTGGTTGCGTCTCATCCTCAGAAGGGTTGGCGCAACATGTGAACGCATTGTGAACGCTCAGTTTATGTATTTAATGTTTACTATGCAACTATAACAAGTATAGATTTGCTGTTTACACGGCAGATCCTCACAACTTGTGACACCTTCCTGAGGAAGCCTAAGGCGAAACGCGTTGATGATTTACATACCATCGTTATTTCACGTGTACGGCCCAAATGGTTCATCTTGAACCCGTAGTCTGAACAACCTGCATATATAAAGGAACAGATAGGCTTTAGACTGTTAGGTGAAGATGCGTCCAAACTGTAATTATGTACGGGAATTCATATTGATGCTTTTTTACAAAATAATTTTTTTTTTCCTATGGTTGAACTGGATGGACTTTTGTCTTTTTTCAGCCAGACTAACTATGTAATCTCTTAGAATTAAAGTCTTTTTTAACAATTTTTTTTTTTTCGTTTACGTGTTTAGGACTTTAAAAAGTCCCATTTTGCTATATATTTAAGAACATTTTTTTTTTCAAAAGATCAGGATGTGGTGCTAGGTGATCCTTTGTTTCTTTTTGCTCCGCTAGTAAAGGTATAATAAACGTCTGGAGATAATAAATTGATCATCATCATCATCATCAAAATGATGGTATTAAAAAAAAAAAAAAGGATCAAAATGAATTAATAATAATTATAATCAAAGTGTTATTAGTAAGAATAAAACTAACGGCTAGTAGAATTAGCAGCATTGGTGCGATGGCAACAATAATACATTTTATGGTAAAATAATAAATAAAATAATAAATAAAAATAATAAATAAAAAAAATAAGAAGAATAATAAATAATATAAATAAATAAATAAATAATAAAATACAAATAATAATAATGCTAAAATGTATAATAGTATAATTATGTATAAAAATAAATGAGAAATAAAAATAAACAAGGACAGATTTTTCTTCAGTGATAAAATTTTTTTATAAATTAAAGTACATCCAAACTTAAGAACAAAAATGTAATATATTTGCAGTTTTGCTAGATATGGTGGCTGCATTAGTTTTTTTTTTTTTACTTTTTTTTTATTGTCAGATCCTTCTCTTCAAAGACCCCAACACCAATCTGACCATTATTATTATCATTTATTTATTTTTATTTCCCCCCCTGGTGATCCTGCCAGGATCGTATTCACTACAAGGCAAACAAGGTACTTGCCTAGGACTGCATTTTTCAGGGGGGCAGCACCTCCACTCAGAAGAAGGGATGAAAGAAGGGACACGCTCACCATGGGAACCAGGTGGGATCCAAGAGAGGCTGCGGGCTGCTTGATGGTGTATGTGCAGCCTAACTCCCATTCCCAAGAATATCCGGAGCTTTGAAGATGAATGTCTTTCTCTCTATCGCCGGGGGGGGGGGGGGGTGTAGTGGAAGGCTCTCCCAAGTGGGGGGGCAGGGGTTGGTCAATGTCAGACTCTCTCCTCAGGAGGGGGAAGGGGGGGTGGTATTGGTCGGTATCCGTTGGGGTGGGACGATTTTTGTCCTAAATACACCTCTGGATCCTGCCAGTAACACACTTCTTGCCATAGGGTGACAACGCTCATCAAATGCACTGTATGGAGGAGTAGAGTTGTCACCCTAGGCTGCTCTCCTGGTTTGGACTGCCATCACCTCCCCCTCTCCCCCTATATATAACATAGTGGGTGAAATGTTTTTTAGTTTGGTATTACAGTTTACTCCACAGGAAGGATATTGAATTTCTGGCAGGATCAACAGACATTTTCGGTGCTTGCAGAAAATGTATGCATGGTAAAAAAAAAATGAAAATGAAAGCTGCCAAGGACCGGTCAGCAGCAAACATGTGACATTTTTCTTCTTGAGTTTAACTACACTTAAATTAAAAAAAAAAAAAAGTAAAAATATTTGTGGATGAGGGGTGAGCCGTGTTCCCATGAGAAGGGATGAGGGGTGAGCCGTGTTCCCATGAGAAGGGATGAGGGGTGAGCCGGGTTCCCATGAGAAGGGATGAGGGGTGAGCCATGTTCCCATGAGAAGGGATGAGGGGTGAGCCGTATTCACATGAGAAGAGATGAGGGGTGAGCCGTTTTCACATGAGGAGAGATGAGGGGTGAGCCGTGTTCCCATGAGAAGGGATGAGGCGTGAGCCGTGTTCACATGAGAAGGGATGAGGGGTGAGCCGTGTTCACATGAGAAGAGATGAGGGGTGAGCCGTTTTCACATGAGGAGAGATGAGGGGTGAGCCGTGTTCCCATGAGAAGGGATGAGGCGTGAGCCGTGTTCACATGAGAAGGGATGAGGGGTGAGCCGTGTTCACATGAGAAGGGATGAGGTGTGAGCTGTGTTCACATGAGAAGGGATGATCCGTGTTCCCATGAGAAGGGATGAGGGGTGATTGTGTTCGCATGAGAAGAGATGAGGGGTGAGCCGTGTTCCCATGAGAAGGGATGAGGGGTGAGCCGTGTTCACATGAGAAGAGATGAGGGGTGAGCCGTGCTCACATGAGAAGAGATGAGGGGTGAGCCGTGTTCACATGAGAAGGGATGAGGGGTGAGCCGTGTTCACATG